CCTCCCCAGTGTGGGGATTACAGGCGTGGACACCTCGCCTGATTACAGCATTGGTGGGGATTGTGTCAACCGCACTACACGGCTACGTTGTTTCCAGCTGATGCAGGAGGGTGGCTGGGCCTCCCCGGCAAGCTGCAGTCACACATGATAAACTTCGTATCGTCCCTAGGAAGATTTTCCCGGGAGGACATAACAGAGATCACCAACCCTGGGTATTTTAAGACGCGATGGTGGTTCCAAGCTTGGTAATGCACCCCCCCCCCCAGAGGTGCGGCATCACTTTTGATTGACGGTTTGGACGGAGAGGTTGGCTCCAGTAGAATCCACAAGGCCCTTTCAGCCACCGCGGGCTTTATTCCGCAAGTGCAGGCAGGGCCAGTGCAAACATTGCGCTGACTACAAAGCTGATTCGCTTACAGACAAATCCAGAGTTTGGGGGCAACCACTGCAGCAGAGGGAGAGAGGAGGCCGGGAGAATGACCTATCACAGTCCTCCACGGGTCTCCAGGGCCGTTTCACGTCGGTTAAGGGCAGGAACTAAACTAGCTCTTGGGGGTGGGAGTGGGGGTGGGGGGAGGCTTTCATGTTTCCCTTTCTCCCGTCATACTTACGATTAGTTCTGGGGAAGCCTGGAGAAATTTCCCCGTACGCTAAGGGTTGTGTGCAAAGCCATTTTGGGACTCTGGTTCTATGCGAGAGGATAAACGCTGCCGTGCAAAGACCTGATTTGTGTTTGTGCCTAAATTTACAGCATCTTTTGCCGCTGGATAGCCCAAACTGCATCTTAGCCGTCTACTAGGGACTTCACTTCGGAGTCCCACCTGGCCTCCACCACACCAGAACTAAGTTATTCCACCACAGGGATCTCCTTCAGGAACCCTGAGCGACCGGTTAGCCCACCCCGCCCACCCCCACCCCCACCCCCACCCCCCCAGCGTGTTACTTCAAAGTTTTTATGCGCAGCAGTGGTGTTAGGACTGCCAAGGAGGTGGATGGGTGTGTTAGGGGGAACACGGAGGGGATTGAAAAGACCTCACAGTCAGTTCATTCCAACCCCCCCCCCCATTCCCCTGAGCCTTTGTAGGGAGGCTCGCTCCCACTGTAAGTCGTTGCCCTAGGCAGAACGGATGCCGTGGAGCGATGGCCCCTGGTCAGCTGACCTTAAGGTGATTATCCTGGAAAGTGCAGGTGGGCCCCCATATAATGGCATCCCTTTAAATAGAGTAGATGCGGGGAGGAGTGTGAAAACCGGTGTGCTACCTACCCCTGCAAGGTCGGGCTAGCTGCTGCAGCCCAGGCTACTGGAGGGTCTAGAGAAGAAAGGTGGGCGGGACCAAGGTAAGAAAGTGCTTTCCCTTGCTGGGAGGTGGTGGTGCACGCCTTTAATCCCAGCACTCGGGAGGCAGAGACAGGCGGATCTCTGTGAGTTCCAGGCCAGGCTGGACCGACAGCCTCCAAAACAATACAGAGAAACCCTGTCTCGTAAAAACAAACAAACAAACAAAAAAGTGCTTTCCCTCGGGGTTCCCAAAAAAGGGGTGCAGTCTTGCAGGCACCTCGATTTTAGCTTCATGAGATCCATTTTTGGACTTTTGGTCTCCATTGGAAGCTCAGTTGAAGTGGTTTTAAGTCACTTTGTGACTGTTTGCCACAAAAACAGCAGCAGGAAGGTCAGAGGTGATGAACCAATAAACCAGTCTGCTTCCATTTTAGGCTTCAAAGCCATCTTGTAGCAAGACAAGCTAGGCTAGTTCCTACTTACGATGAGATCTCTGTTTCTCAAGGGTTGGGCTATGTCTCACCTATAACCTTCACTGCACATGGTTCTGAAGTGCCTGTTCCAGGAAATGGCAGCGGTGACTTTGTTTCTAAAAGTTGCTATGACAGGTTTGCAACCCTACCTTTGTTTCAAAAACTTACTATGGTCGCCTGCTGTTATGACCACCTTAGTACAATCTGCTTCTGCAACCCCATCTAACTGCCTGCCAGATCCCCCCATTTGCAGACCCTCATCTTGACCATGTTCCATGCTGGCCCTCTTGAACCCCACCTTAGGGAGGAAGGCAGCCCATATACACGAATAAAAAAGCTTGGTTTGGTTAATTGCTTGCTTTAATGAGTTTGGCCATGATGATTTGGGTCGGCTGCTTTTTCTCCTGGAATGTTTGGGATTACCGATACCTACTGTCTAGTCCAGGTTTGAAATCAATGGCACTCCTGGACTTCAGGTCCACATATTAGATTCTAAATCCCAGATGCATTTTGCCCATGAAAGTAAGTTTACTCTCAGGTGTTTAATAGTCAGAGGGAAAAAAAAAGTCCTGATCTACAGCTGCTGCTGGCTGCTGGTTTGTAACTGGTGAATGTCTGAACTCATGGACCACTTCCAGCTATAGCAGTGGAGCATAAAGCTGTAACGTGTACTCTTTCCTGCCAGCTGCCTGGGTCCTGCCGCTGTCTCTGCCCCCAAATAACACAGGAGATACTATATTAATTATGAAGCTGTTGGCCATTTGCTATGGTTTATTAATGGCTAGCTCTGACTTAATTATTAGCCCATAATTACTAATATTTATTTTTATAAGGACTTATCCTACTAAGGATGCAGCCTCATGCATCCTCTCTTCCTGGGATCACAAGGCAACTCTCTTGACTACATTTCCCAGAATCCTCCTCGACTCCTAGTCCCACCTATCTTGTTTCCCTATTGGTCAACAGTGCTTTATTTATCAACCAATAGGACAACATGTACACAAGGATCCCCCCCCCCCATCATGATGGAATCTGAGGAAACTTAAATCTGTTTCAGGAGCATGGTCACTCAAAATGGCTGCAGAGTAAACCATCTTTTATTCCCTTGATGAGCATGGGGGTGGGGGTTCTGAGTCTGTGTGTGTGTGTGTGTGTGTGTGTGTGTGTGTTAACAATTATGGCCCCACAACCAAGGTGGAATGATCCACTTTCCACCTAAGGAATCAACTGATTGGAAGCATGAACCATTGAGTGCAAACCATCTGGTGTTATTTCCTTGGGCAGGGAGAGTTCTTTCCAGGGTTGGAGACTTGCCTTGATTTCATCTTTTCCTGAGTCAGTTAATGAGGAACCTACTTTGATAGATACCCTTTGGTCTGCTTTTGAAGCCCTTTGATCTAAGGCATCTGGTTTGTGTGTTGGCTTTAGAGGCATTTTGGTGTAGGCATTTTAGTTTGGTTCTTTGCTTGCTTTCAGATATCTAAGGGCATTTTGGATTTCGCCTGACTTTGGAACTTTGAAGGCGTTTTAGGGCTCTGTATTGTTTATTTTGATTTTCACTGTCTTTGAAATGTTTCAATTTATTGCCATTGGCCCTTTGCATCCTGAAATCCCTCCCGAAATATATAATTCTGCATTTTCCCTGCTACTTCCCCTGCAGCCTTGCCAGGCCTTTATCTTAGAAAGCTGATCGGCATCTGATGATGATGGCACTGGGCAAGACGCCCTTGTTCCCTCCCACCACCGAAGTGTGGAAGTGTCTGGGGGACACCCCAACCGTGTGCAATGTCCTCATTGGGAGCCCACCCCAAATATATCCCGTTCCTGGGTCACAAGGAACTTCATGGTCTTTCCCAACTAGACACCTATGAGGGATTGGTCACCCAATGTCCTGAACCTGCTAACACTTGCTTAGCTGTGAAAAATAACCCCGAGTCAATGGGAGGAGACGGCTCTCAGGACAACAGCTGAGAAAGTCCATTCCAAAGCAGCACATAAAACTAACCCAAAACACTCCCCAGCTAGCATGGGCAGAAAGGAAAATGTTTTTTTCTTCTTTTTTTAATTTGAATTAGAAACAAGCTTGTTTTACGTGTCAATCCCAGTTCTCTCTTCCTCCCCTCTTCTCCTACCCCCCACCAACCCCCATTCCCTTTCTGCTCCCCATAGATGGTGAGGCCTTCCATGGGACATCTTCAATGTCTTTCATATCCTTTGGAGCAGGGCCTAGTCCCTCCCCCGTGTGTCTAAGCTGAGAGAGTATCTATCTATGTGGAATGGGCTCCCAAAGTCCATTCATATGCTAGGGATAAATACCGATCCACTACCAGAGGCTGTATAGACTGCCCAGGCCTCCTATCTGACACCCACATTTAGGGGTCTGGGTTGGTCCTATGTTGGTTTCCCAGCTATCAGTCTGGGGTTCATGAGCTCCCCCTTGTTCAGATCAGCTGCCTCTGTGGGTTTCACCTGCCTGGTCTTGACCCCTTTGCTCATCACTCTTCCCTCTCTGCAACTGGATTTCAGGAGTTCAGCTCAGTGTTTAGCTGTGGGTGTCTGCTTTTGCTTCCATCAGCTACTGAATGAAGGTTCTAAGATGGGAAAAAGAAAAAGAATTTTAAAACTTATGGAACAAGGTTTCCAAAAAGGAAGAAAGGAATGTTGGAAAGCAAATGCTCTTTCTAACAAAAAGCAGTTTCAAGGTACTTGTAATGAGTTAAATCTTTAATAAGCGATTAATTTTAATTTTGTAAGCAATTAACTTAAATTTTGTTAAGAAAACAGGAAATACTAGCAGTCTCCTACATTTTTATTTAAAATTGCCTTACTATAATGATTTTCTAAATATTGTAATAATTATGATAAAATGAAAGTATGGTGACTACAGTTTTTAAAAAATAAATATGATTGCAACTAAGTTAAAAATAGTGTATAATTTTTTAATGTTTTAAGGTTATTTCAATACCCTGAGACAGGGATAAAAGACATGCACCACCACACATGGCTCAATTACATTTATTTTTATTTATTTATTTTGGTTTTTTGAGACAGGGGTTTCTCTGTGTAGCTTTGGAGCCTGTCCTGGAACTCCCTCTGTAGACCAGGCTGGCCTAGAACTCACAGAGATCCACCTGCCTCTGCCTCCCGAGTGCTGGGATTAAAGGCGTGCGCCACCACCGCCCCGCCTCAATTACATTTATTTTTAATAAACTGAATAGTAAGTTTACATATTTATGCTTTAGTGACTATCTTATAAAGTTCTCAAACGTGTCTGTTGGTTCTGATGAGCTGGTCCAGGCTATCTGCAGCATATGGCAGCCAACACTACTTCCTTGTCAGCCCGTCGCCCTTAGGATGCCTTCTCAGCTGCCACACAGACTAATGAGGTCACAGAAGACTAGGTATGTTGCATCTGAGCTGCCTTGTGATCCAATTCTTCTTGGGGCCCCGGGAAGACGGCAGGTCTCCTTGAGAGTCACCACCTGGTAGGCAGGCATTAAGAAGGTCCATGCTGTGCAGGTCATTTCTTCATGGGCAGGAGCTGTCTCTGGGAGGACAAGCCTGAGTTAAGGGAGACTTGGGGTGTTCCTATTCTTTCTATTAGGATCCCACTGCTTTCCTGGTGGTGACTTACTTAGTACCCTAAGTTTTTTTGTTTGTTTGTTTTGTTTTTAAAGCAGTGACAATATTGACTTTGTCATAATAACAGATGCTGTTATGCATAATTGAAACACAGCAAATAGATACAATGTAATGTGTCACTCCCAAGAGATGGGGGAAGCCCTTCTGTGTATGTGTTGTCTTATTGGTTTATTAAATAAAGCACTGTTGGCCAATAGGGAAGCAAGAAAGGTGGGACTAGGAGTCGGGGAGAATTCTGGGAAACTGAGGCACAGTCAGTCATGATGTAGGACTCCAGAGAAGTAAGGGGTCTGGACCCCTTTCTCCAGTAAGAGAAGACCACGTGGAAATACTCAAGATTAGCAGTTATGGGTTAATAATTAAGTCAGAGCTAGCCGATAAGAAACCAAAGAAAACGGCCAACAGCTTCATAGTTAATAATAGCATCCTGTGTGTTATTTGGGGGCTGAGACAGCTGTGGGACCCAGGCAGCTGGCAGGAAGACTACATGTTACACCCAAGTGTCACCACTGTGCGTAAATGATTAGCTACTCGGTTTACCTACTTGTGCTTGCCTCTCTGGGTACCTGAACATGGTCTGGTAGTAGAGACACTACAAATTTTATATGCATGAGTAAAATGCTTGAATTTTCTTTCTTTCTTTCCTTCTTTCTTCCTTCATCCTTCTCCTTCTCTCCTTATCTCCCTCTCTCCCTCCCTCTCTCTACCTTCTTTCTCCCCCTCCCTATTTTTTTTTTTTTTGGTTTTTCGAGACGGGGTTTTTCAGTATTGTTTTGGAGGCTGTCCTGGAACTCGCTCTGTAGACAGGCTGGCCTCAAACTCACTCAGAGCTTGTCTCTGCCTCCCAAGTGCTGGGATTAAAGGCATGTGCCACCAACGCCTGACTTTTTTTTTCTTTGTTTTTGAGACAAGGTCTCAGGTGCAACCCTGTCTAGTCTAGAACTCACTTTGTACATCAGACTGGCCTTGAATTCACAGCTGGTTCTGTCTCCCAGGTGCTGGGATTGAAATTTGCTGACTCAGTTTTTTCTTTTTTGAGACAGGGTCTTGCTACGTAGTCTAGGCCTGGAGCTCACTATGCTGTCTATGTTTTCCTTGATCTCTCAGACTTCTTGGATGCTGGGATTATAGGCTGGCAACACTTGCCCGGCTGAAAGCACACAGCCTGTTTTAATGCTAGGCCTTCATGGCAAAAGCTGCCAGGGCAGTGGTTTCCAAGCTTAAACAACACACATTAGAATCATTGGAAAACTTGATAAAACACGGGTTGCTCAACCTGGCCCTCATGTTTCTGAACCAAGAAGCTTTGGATGTGCTCTGAGAAGTCAGTCCCCACCCCTTCCCTGCCCCCAAGTCACAGAGCAAGATGCTTGAGAATTCACAGACTTGGCCACATTCTGTTCAGGTCTGGCCAATCTCTCCACACTTGTGTCAGATGAAGGCAAACACTACGGTTCTCCTCGTGGCGGTCTGTGTGTCTGTCTGCTCATCACCCTCTCTGATTCTAGGCTGTGTCCATGGACACTACTAGCTTGATGAAGGGCATACCGAGCACAAGCAGGCTGGAGTTTTTGTATTGTAGCTAGGCAGCTGCACATCTTGGAATGTTTGAAGTGACATAGCTGGTAACTGGGATGAGAGCATTCTTGTGTTCTTTGGTTCAATAATAAATATTTCCATCCAGCTGCAGCTACGGGGTTAGCAGACTTGAAATCCATATCAGTACTGGTCTATACATGCCATAGAGCTCCTGTGACACTGCAGATCATGTGTCGTAGAGCAATAGGAATCTGTCTCTGGGCATCTTTAGAAGTCTGAAATCATGGTGCATTCAGGGTTGGTTGCTCCACCTTGAGGAAGAACCAATTCCAGGTCTTCTCCCTCACTTCTAGAAGTTGACTGGTAATCTTCAGTATTGTAGATTGTAGTAATAAAAAATTTTATTATTTTTCACTAACTAAACCTTTTCATTGACTTTACATCCCATCCATAATTTCCCCTCCCTCATCTCTGTCGGATCCTTTCCCTTGGGCTCCTCTCTGAACCCCCATCTGCTCCTCTGTTTCTGTTCAGAAAGGGGCATGTCTTTCATGGTGCCAACACAGAATATCAAGTTGAAGTAAGACTAAGCTTCCCACCCCTTGTATTGAGCCTAGGTGAGGCATCGCAGTATGAGGAATAGGTTCCCAAACGCAAGCCTTAGGGACAGACCCTGATCCCACTGTTAGGAGTCCCCACAAACAGACCAAGGTACACAACTGTCTTACATACGTAGAAAGGCCTAGGTCCATCCCATACAGGCTCCGCGGCTGTTGGTCGAGTCTGTAAGCTCCTATGAGCCCAGGTTAGTTGTTTCTGTGGGTTTCCCAGTCATGACCTTGACCACCCTGGCACGAAAAAGCACTCCTCCCTCTCTTCAACAGGATTCCTGGAACTTGGCCTAGTGCTTGGTTGTGGATCTCTTCATCTGTTTCCATCAGTGCTGGATGAAGGCTCTCTGGTTGACAATTAAGGTAGTCGCCAATCTGATTATAGTAGATGAGCCACTTTAGGCACCCTTTCCCCTATTGCTAAGATTCTTAGCTGGGGTCATCCTTCTGGATTCCTGAGAGTTTCCCTGGCGCCAGGTTTCTCCCTGACCCCCCAAATGACCCCACCCTATCAAGATATCGCTCTCATTAACCCCCTCTGTCCCACCCCCAAACCCAGCCAATCCAATCCCTCATGTTCCTACCCACCCCCACCCCAACCCCTAGCTTACCCAGGAGATTTCTTCTGTTTCCCCTTTCCCAGGGAAATCTAGGTGTCCCCCTTTGGGCCCTCATTCTTACTTATAGTGTTTCTCTGGGGCTGTGGATTGTGGCATGGTTATCCTTTATAGCTAATGTCTACTTATGAGTGAGTACATAGCATGTTTGTCTTTCTGGGTCTGGGTTACCTCACTCAGGACAATTTTTTTCCTAGTTCCACCCATTTACCTACAAGTTTCATGGTGCCATCATTTTTTTGCAGCTGAGTAACACTCCGTTGTGTAAATGCACTACATTTTCCTCATCCATCCTTCAGCTGAGGGGCATCTAGGTTGTTTCCAGTTTCTGACTATTATGAATAATGCTTCTATGAACTTCGTTGAGCAAGTGTCATTGTGGTATGATTGAGCGTCCTTTGGGCATATGCCCAAGGTTGGTATTACCCGGGTCTTGAGGTAGATTGATTCCCAATGTTCGGGTTATGGATGCATTGTCCTAGCTCTCATTTTCATGTCTGCATGGTGTCCTGTGCTGCCAACCTGTCTCTGAATTCCAGTTGTCCCTTTCCATAGAGCCCACAAACAACATAATGTTGACTTAGTGACTTGCAAAGGCCCTATTTATCCTGGTAGCAGCACAGTTAAAAGTACTGGAACTTGGGACTCTAACTTCTAGGAAAACATAATTCAGCACATAAATGTGCTGTAAACTCAGGCATAGGGGCTGTTAATATTGAGGATCCAACACCATCATAGAGTAGGAACAACCAAATCACAATGCACTTTGCCTGCATTGTATTCTCCTAAAACCAGTTACTAAGAGCTGGCTGGGTTCCTTTTTGCTCATTCCAGATAGAAGTCATGGGTAGGAGATGAAAAGCTCTTCCAACACTGGCTACCCCTGTGAATTCCTGAGTCCTGTGAACCAAACTGTCAGATCCAGGGGGTTATAACTCCAAATGCTGGGAGCTAAGACCCTATTGCTTCCTGCCCTAGAAGCTAGAGACACAGCTCTGAGTACCCTGGGCTACATCTCTGGTGACCTCAGCACTTGGCGCCTATTGTAATGAGCAGCAAGCGACAGAAGGTGGCGCCTGTAGCCCCGTCCTTAGGCCAGAGTATCCGAGAGCCCTGAGCGCTAGGATTTGGCAGCTCCTTGGAATTCTCCCAACAGCTGGGTCCCACGGTTGTCTTCTCTGGCTATTCATAGTCTCCTGTCTGCCTTCAGCCTCATCTTTCTACTTCCGCCATCTCCTGTTGTCTCTGGAGACCCTGCTCCCACCGTGTGTGTTCTGGCTGCTGCCTTAAAAAAATACACATATTTTTTGTTATTTTATGTGTATTATGTATTTGGCTCCGTGGATGTTTCTGCACCGGGTGTGTGTCTGGTACCTGTGAAACACAGCAGAGGGTGTCAGGTCCCCCGGATCTGGGGTTATAGATAGTTCCGAGCCACCATGTGAGTGCTAAGAATTAAACCCAGGTCCTCTGGGAGAGCAGTCAGTGCTCTTAACCCCTGAGTCATCTCTTCAGCCCCTCAGCTGCCATTCTTACTGTCTTCTCTTGTGTTACCAGAGCAGCATGCTCTAATAAGAAAAGGCAGGCTTTGGGCTGGAGAGATGGCTCAGCAGTTAAGAGCACTGGCTTCTCTTCCAGGGGTTCTGAGTTCAATTCCCAGCAGCCACATGGTGGCTCACAGTCATGTGTAATGGGATTTAGTGCCCTCTTCTGATGTGCATAGAGACAAGTCACTCATATACATAAATAAATAAATATTTTTTTAAAAGAAAAAGAAAAGGTAGGCTGGAAAGATGCTTATTCCACAGAAGCCTTTTATCGGACCCAATGTTGCAAAGACTAGGAGACATAGGTGATACTTCACAGGGAATTCCAAAAGTGGACCGAAAGAGCCTGCTTAGATCGTTAGAAATGAACTATCAAGGGTTTTGGCTCCACTCACAGCCTAGTTTCCATGCCAGTGAAGGCTCTATTTGAACGAATCACTGGTCT